TGAACATCAAAAAATATGCAGCCTTGCTTTTCGATTTGGTACAAGAATTTGAAAACAGACTTCAAGATTTCCGGGAAAATAATCAATATTTTGCTATATTTGCAACTCCATTTTCAGTCAACATAAATATGTTACCAGTGAATTTTCAAATGGAATGCATAGAGCTGCAATCTGATAGTCAACTTAAAGAAAAATTTGATCGTGTGTCTTTACTGGACTTTTATGAATCCTAGTTTCCCAGAGACGAAATATCCCTTGCTTCACAATGAAGCCTTATTCATTGTTATTTTGCAGCACCTACATTTGTGAGCAACTATTTCCAAGAATGAAACATGTTAAGAGTAAAATTATAACCAAAATATCTGATGAGAACCTTGAGAACTAAGAATTGCAACTACTTCTATCAAATGAGACACTAATGTACTAGTTTCTCAGATACAATATCAAACATCCCACTAGTAGTTTTATGTTGCCCTCTTTTCTTTTACTTTTATAATAAAAAATATTAAAAAACATCAATGACATTTTATTACTTAGATACGTACATTTTTTTTTTATTTATGATCACAAACTTGGGACCTGCTTGACAATTTTAAAAGATTATTGAAAGGGCCACTGCATAATTAGGGTTATTATGTGAGGACTTTTTTGCTCCTCAGTGGTGGCAGATGTCATGAAAATTATGCACAGATCCTTCTTTTGCTCATCAGTTTTCATTAGTGTTTGTGTATTTAATGTATGGCCCAAGACAACTCTTCTTCCAGTCTGGCCCAGAGACACCAAAAAGTTGGACACCCTGATTTAGATGCTGGACAGCTGGGGCAATAAGTAATTGCATATGTATATAATAATTATAACCCACATAAAAATCACTTTTTGAGACTTTAATAATTTTTAAGAGCGTAAAGGGGCTTCCAAAACAGAAAGGTTGAGCCTAGTTAATACAAATCATAGTAATAATGTCCAAAACACAAAGACACAGAAAAGATATAATTGAGTGGCAACGCTATCTTAAGAAAGGGCATTCATAATTAAGGCCAGGATAAACTAAAGCAGTGTTCAGAGTTTGTGGGAGCACTAGAATCCCTCCATCTGGAGGTATCATTTTCATTTTATATGTAAGGAATTTGTTTAATCTCTTCAGAACATTTTTAATGTGTTGAGCCAAGAACAAAGAGCAAAGTAATCTATTTCCAAACTCACTTTCTGCCAAAGAGGAATACTTTTATTTCTATCTAAAGTCACCAAAAACTGGAAGATTGGAAGGAAACAGTTATCTTTTCAGAGCACTTTCAAGATAAAATATGGAATTTTGAATTAAAAATGAACCACACAGTACAGCAAGGACAATAAAAGGACAAATGCTAAGGGCAACTATCATGAATAAATCTCACACAATGTGCTCTCCAACTTTTTGACACCAGGGAACAGTTTTGTGGAAGACAATTCTTCCACAGGCAGGAGATGATTCAGATGCATTACATTCAAGCTCACCGCCTGCTGTGTGTCCTGGTTCCTAACAGGCCTGGACCAGTACCGGTCCATGGCCCGGAGGTTGGGGACCCCTGTGACATAAGATGTTGAACAAAAGAAGTCACAAAAGAATGAATACAATGACTCCATTTATAAAAATAAAAATATGCCTAACTAACCTATACTTTTTGATATATACACAGGTCGTAAAGAAAAGAAGAGAATAAAAGTCACAATAACAATTTCCTCTGAAGAAATCAAGGAAATAATGTGTGGGAAGTAATATATCTGTATGATTTCTGGGATGTCATTAATATCCTTGAGATTATTATTTTATATATATATTATTTACATTGTTTGTGTTATGTAATTTTTATTTTTTAACTGACTTTATTGATGTGACATTGGTTAATAAAATTATACAGAGTTCAGGTGTACAATTCTATAATACATCAACTGTATGTTGAATTGTGTGGTCACCACCCCAAGTTATGTACTTTTAAAACTATATCTCATTGTTCAATAAAGAAAGTAAATAAAAAACTGGTACTGCTATTTTGTGGCAAACTGTAACTTCTACCAGAGTGAAGCCAGGAATTAATTCCATAACTGGCAGTCACTGAATAACAAAAAGTGAAAATGAATGTTCAAATTTAAACCAAATTTTAATCTTGACAAACACACTATGTGTTTGTTAACATAAGCAGAATTAACCTTTGGCAGCATCTGATAAAGATTAAATATTCATTACTCAACAAAATTCAAAATGTTAAGTATAAATTATTTCTTAAGAATATATTTTAATCCTATAACTATTTTGCCATAGTGGAAACATTAAAATGCTAAAATAATTCCTTCTTTTTACTTCTATTTCATGAAAACATCAATAATTGGACCCAAATGTATATTCAGACATTTCAAACAAAAACAAAATAATCATAAGAACTTTTTAAAATACAAATCCTCAGTCAACTGGTTTTCTACTCTTCCATTCCCTCATGAATTACTACTATTAGCCATTTCTCCAAGAATTGCTAGCATCCTTAGTGGGGAATCATATTTAGAGGTCACAATCTTGATTCTATGGATAGTCACTATCTACCACTGGGTTGTTACTTGTAAGAAGCCAGTTAAGAAATTAGCAGCAGAGCTAGTTAGTAAAAGAACTGAGTTCAGGCCCAAAGTATCCTATTTGTAGTCCAGTGCTTTTTTCACTATATTTGAATTATATCATGTGGTCATCAGCTATCATTTTTCATTACTTTGATCCTTAATATTTATCACATACTGAATCACCTTGGAAAAGTCACTCATCCATTCTAAATTAGTTTTCTCTATACATAATATAAAATTAATATAGATATTACTTATCTCTTAGAGTATATAAGGAGGAAATAAGAGACTGCATATGAAAGCACTTTTGTTATCATAACAACTCGTAGAAGATTAAAAAGGCACCTTTTGGTTTATAAAGACAGGCTAGTAGTTGAGAACATTAAATTGCGGGTGTGGGGGGAGAGAGGGCAAGACAAATGAAACAGTTAAGGGACAAACATAAAAAAGGGCTTTTCTTATAAAATAAATATTTTCTACAATTAAAATAACAATTTGATCCTAGTTCAAGAAGGGAGGTTGACTTGAAACCCTAGAAACAGTCTAATTATTAAACAATTTCATAAACTATAAAGACAATTCAAACTTCTGAGTAATGAAATAATTCCCTATAGTGCAGTGCAATTGCTAGCAATGAAGAACAGCTAACACTGTCACTATACAAAACACCCTAAAATATTTTAAATTAAAAAGTTAAAGTAGCCCAGGCTGATGTGTCTTAGTGGAGTGAGCACTGGCCTGCGAACCAGAAGGTCACTGGTTGATTTCCAACTGGGGCACATGCCTGGGTTGAGGGCCATGTTCCCAGCTGGGGTCTTGAGAGAGGCAACTGATCAATGTATCTCTTGCACTCGATGTTTCTCTCTGTCTCTCTCTCTTTCTCCCTTCTTTCCCCTCTCTCTAAAAGTACATAAATAAAATCTCAAAAAAAAAAGTAAAAGTATAAAAAAGGCTACAACAATTTAAAAAGATTTATATGTAAATATTTATATGTTCTCAAAAAGGGTGAAACTGAGCAAAAAAATTCATGGAAATCAAGCTGCCGAGAGAGAGAGATTTGAATTACTTAAACAAATAAACTGTAAGACATGAAAAATACTTGGCTTCACTGATAATCAGAGAAATATAAATTAAAAGAAACATTAAATATTTTGCACTCATCAGATTTGGCACACACACAAAACTAAAAAAAGAAAAAGAAAGAAAATTGACTGTCAATTTTTGCTGGCAAGGGCGAGGGAAATTGGAATGCTGCTTTTTTTTCAAAAGTCAGTGCATTTAAGGAAATTTATACTGTTTCTATAAGGAGTATGTATTTTATAATCAGTAAAAGTCATATGAAACAAAATGAAAATAGGTATTAAGTGGAATTTTCATGTCTGAAATGAGTGTGCTGAAAGCCCCAAAATGGCTTCTATATACTAGATAACGCCTCTAAATCTCTCCAGGAAGGACTTCACAATTGTCATAATTGCACACTGTATCACACTCAGTTAGAAGTTATAATGAGAGAAAAAAAAAAATCTCGCAGTGGCTTAGCAGTCTCAGCAGAAGTTTCAGAGGTTTCTAACAAGTTTATGACATTCTTCTCTTAAAACTTAAATCTTCATTCTGACAGGCTGGAGATCCAGGTATCTCAGAATCATGACAGAGCCACTTAGAAAGCTGTGTGCATTTAGGTTAAGTAATTTAATTTCTCTATTTCCTCATCTGTAAAATGTGCACAAAACTGAAGGCACACTGGATCAGCGTGAGGGTTAGGAACGGTCAATGCCCAGGGCCTAGTTTCAAGAACTAGGCACATAACTGGCACTTATTTGGTCCCTGCTACCATTGTTATTGAACCTGGTCTAACTCAATCTGTAAATAATTAGGTTCACACATCAATCATCATTCCACTGAAGTAGAAAAGTAGTTTAGGTGTCTTGCATGACTGTGAAATATGTTCTCTAAACTGAATTTTTAAAAAGGAAGGAAATAAAGAAGGAAGGAAAAATGGGGGAGGAAGATGAGGGGGAGAGAAAAGGAAGAATGGAAAAAAGAAGGAAGTTAAAATAAGACATAAACCAAGACTAGCAATGCACTTTAAATAAAGAAAAATGGCAAATAGTTAACACTGACCACTCTAAAGTTCAACAGTATCCATTGACATTGAACTTACCAATTAAGTGTGATCAACTTGAAGCAAGATGAACTTTCTCCTATGCTGAGGTGTCCTCACAAAGCTGTGGAATAAAACTTGCCTTTTTCTTTTTAAAGCCATGCTTTTATTACTAAACAGCTGGTCTGAGAGGAAGGCAGTAAGCAGGGTTAGAAAGAGAAAAAAGAGGAGGATAAAGATGAAGAGAAAAACAACATGCAATTCCGGATCAAGTCTCTTCACCCCATCCTTGCAGATTCTCCTGTGTTCTCACCTGGAGTTGTGCAGAGCTGTCATTGAGACTGTCCTCCCTTCGCCGCGCCTCCTCTAGCATCTGTGCACTCTTCTTCTTTTCCACCTGTTCCTTGTGCTTCAGATTTGCTACCTTCTTATTCTGGTCTTTCACTTGCCTGTTGATAAATGGGGAGAAAAATCAAGCTATTCACATACGTGCATAGAACAAAATGTTTATTTACAGTGTTACACCACTGCCACAAAGGAACAACTGAAAACCAACAAAGAGTTCCTGCTACAAAGTGGTCCCAACCCTTTCAAGAGCTCTCCTACCAATAGTAGCAAATTATTAACAACAACGTTTCAGGAACACACATTTTAGCGTGTACTTTATGAAGCACACTGAAATTCTAAAAGAAAAGGAGGGCATGAGATAGTTTGAGATGACATGAAAAAGAAATCAAGCCAAAGATTTGTTGGCTATATGGAAACAGTCTCCAGATATCAATGCTATGAAATAGTAGAATGGCTGATTAAGAAAGGTTTTGTGATACAACTCTTATTTTACTATTGTTAAATATTTCACTTTCAAAAAGCATCAGAACGTTGTACCAAATTCAGAAGCTCCCTATCCTATATCACTGCCTCCACACTAAGATACAACTATATGCTAAAAATTTTGTGTTTATAATCCTCTTGCTTTTATTATAGCTTTGTTTCACATATGGATCCTTTATTTTGCATGTTTTTGAAATTTATATATAAATTTATTAATAAACTATTTTTCTTTTCAATATATGTTTTGAGATTCATACTGGTTAATCAGTGGTTTTTTTTATCTGCTCCATTTTCAATGCAGTAAAAAATGGCATATCTCAATTGTCTTAACACATTCTTGAGTTGATAAATAATTGGGTTTAGTTTTTTATTATAACAAACAATACATTCTGATATTGCCTGTGCTAGAGCTTCTCCAAGGTACAGCCCTACAAGCTGAATTGGTGAGTTGTGTTGTAGGTATACCTTCAAGTTTACTAATTATTTTCCAAGAAGTTATATTTATACTTATTATACAAGTAGTACAAAACAGTACTTCCTATACTTCTACATATTCGCTAACACTTGGTAATATAAGACTTCCTGAATTTTATCAATCTGGTATATATAAATAAATAATATGTCATATAATTTTAAAATGCATGTTCCTGGCTACTGAAGTGGAACATCTTTTTATACAGTGTTTGACTATTCCTGTTTCCAATTCTATGAAATAGTTAGTGTGCATTTTGCTCAATTTTCAATTAGAATATTTTTAAATGACTTATAGGTATCATAATCCTTTATCTGTTATATGTTACACAAATATTTCCTTCCAATATATTAGTTATTTATTTGATTGTTCAGGGGTGTTCAGCCCAGGATGGCTATGAATGCAACCTAATACAAAATCATAAATTTATTTAAAACATTATGATATTTTTTGTGATTATGTGTCACAATGTATTTGATGTGTGCCTCAAGACAACTCCTCTTCTTCCAGTGTGGCCCAGAGAAGCCAAAAGGTTGGACACCCCTGCTTTATGGTATGTTTTCATTTTGAAAATTTAAAATTTTTAATTGTTTCTAGTGCACCAATCTTCTTTATGGTTTGAAATTTTGTTATTTTTTAACAAAATCTTCCCCATACCAAATTCATAAAGATTTTGCCTGAAAATCTGTAACTTAGTCTTTCATATTGAAGTCTTTAATCTACCTGATACTTATGTTGTGTGTGGTGTGAGGCAGAGATACAATTTCAATTTGGGGGTATGGTCTGAGGTAAGAATAAAATTTCATTTTTTACACTGATAACTAATTTTCCAGCATTATTTATATGCACTGCTATTTCAGTTGTATTTAAAGTTTCTTCTATGTACATGTGTGCCTGTCATGTGGCTGCCTACTCTGGTATTTTGTATATTTCTGCACCAAATCTATACTACCTTAATTACTATACCTTTATAAGAAGTTTCAATATCTCTAAGGCAAGTCTGCCTACCTCTTCTTTTACAAGACTGTCTTGACTATTCTTGCCCCTTAATACTTCTCCTATAAATGTCAGAGCCAGCTTGTCAGGTTCCACTAAACCAACCAACCAATCCACCACAGTAACCAAAACCCAACAAAAGCCTTTTGTGATTTTGATTGAAACTGTACCAAATCTATTTATCAATTTGGGAAAAACTGACATTTTCATGCTCTTGACTCTTTCAATTTATTAACACCATGTATCTCTCCAGTTATTTAGTTCTCCTTAAAAGACTTTCAATAAAGAGTAAAGCTTTACTCAATAAAAGACTGACATTTATTTTTTCCATAAGTACCTTATATATTTTGTTGTCATTTTAAATTCCACACATCTTGTCACTATACATGGTTCCTGATACAAAGTAAGCATTCTTTAAAAAGTACTTTTCAACAATGTAAATATTAACAAAATTAACAACATGTAATTCCTTGTTATCATCTAATGCCCAGTCCATATTCAAATTTCCCCCATTGTCTCAAAAAATTTTTTTTAACGCTTGCTTGTTTTAATCAAAATCCAAAAGATCTGAAATATAATTGATGGTCTTATGTTTCTTAAATCCTAAAAGTCTCTATTAATCTAGAGAAAAGTCTCTCCCATCCTCCCCTGCCCCCTTTTTTAAATGCCACTAACTTGTTAAATACTATGAGTTTGGCAAAATGACTCATATTTTGGAATGTCTATTTGTTTCTTCATGATGTCATTTGTTCCATGTACTTTTTCTTTTTCAGGTACTGAAAGAACTTGTCTTTAAACAGATTCAGTTTCAACATTTTAGGTCAAAATAGTAAATAATGGTGCTGTGTACTTTATATTGCCTCACTGGTTTTTCATCAATGAATAATCAGAATGAAGGTAGTGATGGCCTGGTCTCTTCTTCTGTGTGTTATGTTTACCCTTCCATAAACTTTTGATCTAATGGCTCCATGCACTAATGAGCTTTTCCTGAAAATATTATTTCAATGACATTTTTAAGTTACATGGCAGATAGACATGCAGCTGATTTCTATACATAGGTTTTAAATCTGGCAAACTGGCAAATGCTCCTGGTAATTCTAAAAAATTTTTCTGCGGATTCTTTTGGGTTTTCTATGTAGACAGTTGTATTATACAAAATGATAAAGTATACAAAACCCTTTATACTTTCTTTTTTTTCTCATCTTATTGAACTTGCTAGAAGTTTCAGAACCATTATGAAAATAAGTACTGACAGTGGGTATCTTTGTCTTTCTCCTGATTCTAAAGAAAATTATTTTTACATTTCACACTATGACATTTGCTGCAGTTTTTCCTTTGAAAACTTTTTATCTATTCCTTGTCTGCCAGAAGTTGCTGTTATTTTTGTAATTGAGTGGTGAATTTACTGACAGCCTTTTGAGATTTTCTAATGTTAAACCAATTTTATCATGAGATAAATCTATTTTGTATTTTGTATGATATTTACCTCGATAAATTTCTTTACTTCCTTCCAACTCAACCATACATTTATAAAATTAATGAAAAATCTGGCATTTTTATTGTTTTGTTTATTGAAGGCTGCTCAGAGAATATAATTAATAATGTCAAAAACAAAACTGTGAAATCCTCTGTAAAAGGTAAACACACATTTTCTTTTGTGTAATTTGAATATGATTCTATCAATGTGCCAAAAAAATTTTTTTAGAATTTTAATTGAGGAATTATTCAAAATTAAATAGTAAATTCATGACACAGATGGTAAGATAAAAGTCATTCTCTGATAGAAGTGGTATTAATACATTACTCAAAAGCTACATTTCAGATCTTCATTTTCTGCCATCTTGAATATGTCTACTGAAAGATTTAGGCACAGAAAATATAATAAAACCAGTTGTCATTGGAAGAAATAAAAATGAAACTAATGTCTACATTTAAATCTCTTTGCATAATTGTGTTAATATTTATAATTTTATTAATCTGATATCAATCATATCAACTAGTAGGAAAGAACAGATTGAGATCTTTGCATTAGAATAATACAAAGAAAATTATGTTTTCAAGAATCAACCTGCTCTTTTCTAAAATTAAATTCCTTATAATCTTGGTTTATTACATGCAGAGATTTTACTCTCTGTTTTAAGTGAGAAAAAAATTTAAGGGTCCACAAATTCTTTTCACCTTGCATCTGTGAGTTATTCCAGAAGATGCTGGCCAGCACTGATACCTGTAGCAGAGCCTGGTTATTTGGAGCAACAGGACACATGAAATAAGGAACCTAATTAAAACCACTTGACTATTTTTCAGAAAAAGGCAGATGTTACAGGCTAAATGTCTGACCCAATCAAAGTCGATTTCACTCTTCAGCACTTTTTATCATAATTATATCTGAGAATGAGTGACTTTTTGCTCCCAAGTTTACCCCCAAGTCATAGAACTAGGTCAGGATATTTTTAGTTGCTTTTCAGGAAAGAACAAAAAAATCCATTCCTCCTATCCTATCTCAACCAACTCTCCACTTGTGGGTGTTTTTAAATTTTATTTATTTTGATCTTCACAATATTGGGCATATAATTTTAATGCTTACCTCCTTCAAATCCAAAGAAAATACAATAAAATACTAAGTAAAACATATAGAATATCAAGCTAAATACAGAGCATGGTCCTAAACATATAAAAGTTGGGGCAAAAGTAGGTTTACAGCTGTTCACATGGAAAAGAATACAATTTAATTAATAAATAATAATACAAGAATAAACTGTGTTTTGTGTACTCACAACTGCAAACCTACTTTGTATTACGCTATGTCTCAGTATGCATAGTCAAAAATATAATATTAAAAAGGAAAAATTAGTATTTTAACTTTTCATGGTTTTTTGCAGTTTCTAAATTTTCTACAATACACATACAATATTTTTAAAATACTTTAAAGTTTTTAAAAATGTGGTATGGTTGTATCTCAAAATAAGGTCTTCATCTAAATCAGACTAGATAGAAAGTCAGTAAGGCAGACTTGAGTTTCCCTTATTTATTTATTCCTTGGTTCTTAATTTTCCATTTTTCATACTTTCAATTTCCTTTCTTTAACTTAGTTTTATGGCTATTACTTCTATATTTTATTCCACAGACATAATTAAGTATGAAAATAAAATG